AATAATTATTGTGGGTGATTTTAACATCCATGTAGATGCTAAAAATGACAGCCTCAACATGGCATTTAATCTGTTATTAGACTCAATTGGCTTCTCTCAAAATGTAAAAGAACCCACCCACCACTTTAATCACACTCTAGATCTTGTTTTAACATATGGCATAGAAACTGAACATTTAACAGTGTTTCCTGAAAACCCTCTCCTGTCTGATCATTTCCTGATAACATTTACATTTACAATAATTGATTACACAGCGGTGGAGAGTAGACTTTATCACAGTAGATGTCTTTCTGAAAGCGCTGTAACTAAGTTTAAGAATATAATCCACCCACTGTTATCATCTTCAATGCCCTGTACCAACACAGAGCAGAGCAGCTATCTGAACGCTACCCCAACAGAGGTCGATTATCTTGTTAATAATTTTACCTCCTCACTACGTACGACTCTGGATACTGTAGCTCCTGTGAAAACTAAGGCTCTCAATCAGAAGTACCTGACTCCGTGGTATAATTCTCAAACACGTACCCTAAAGCAGATGACTCGTAATCTGGAGAGGAAATGGCGTGTCACAAATTTAGAGGATCATCATTTAGCCTGGAGAAATAGTTTGCTGCTTTATAAGAAAGCCCTCCGCAAAGCCAGAACATCTTACTATTCATCACTGATTGAAGAAAATAAGAACAACCCCAGGTTTCTCTTCAGCACTGTAGCCAGGCTGACAAAAAGTCAGAGCTCTTTTGAGCCAACCATCCCTTTAACGTTAACTAGTAATGACTTCATGAACTTCTTCACAAATAAAATTTTTATCATTAGAGAAAAAATTACCAATAATCATCCCACAGATGTAATATTATCTACAGCTACTCTTAGTACCATTGATGTTAAGTTAGACTCTTTTTCTCCAATTGATCTTTCTGAGTTAACTTCAATAATTACTTCCTCCAAACCATCAACGTGTCTTTTAGACCCCATTCCTACAAAACTGCTCAAAGAAGTCCTGCCATTAATTAATTCTTCGATCTTAAATATGATCAACCTATCTCTAATGATCGGCTATGTACCACAGGCCTTCAAGCTAGGCTGTAGTTAAACCTTTACTCAAAAAGCAATCTCTAGACCCAGCAGTCTTAGCTAATTATAGGCCAATCTCCAACCTTCCTTTCATATCAAAATCCTTGAAAGAGTAGTTGTCAAACAGCTAACAGATCATCTGCAGAGGAAAGGCTTATTTGAAGAGTTTCAGTCAGGTTTCAGAGCTCATCACAGCACAGAAACAGCTTTAGTGAAGGTTACAAATGATCTTCTTATGGCCTCTGACAGTGGACTCATCTCTATGCTTGTCCTGCTAGACCTTAGTGCAGCATTCGATACTGTCAGTAGAACATGCATTAGGTATTACAGGTACTGCGCTGCAGTGGATTGTATCATATCTATCTACTAGACTCCAATTTGTACAAGTAAATGGAGAGTCCTCTTCACCCACTTAGGTCAATTATGGAGTTCCACAGGGTTCAGTGCTAGGACCAATTCTGTTTACATTATACATGCTTCCCTTAGGCAGCATCATTAGAAGACATAGCATACATTTTCACTGCTATGCAGATGACACCCAGCTCTATCTTCCATGAAGCCAGATAACACACACCAATTAGTTAAACTGCAGGAATGTCTTAAAGACATAAAGACCTGGATGGCCGCTAACTTTCTGCTTCTTAATTCAGATAAAACTGAGGTTATTGTACTCGGCCCTGAAAATCTTAGAAATATGGTATCTAACCAGATTCTTACTCTGGATGGCATTACCTTGGCCTCCAGTAATGCTGTGAGGAACCTTGGAGTCATTTTTGACCAGGACATGTCCTTCAACGCACATATTAAACAAATATGTAAGACTGCTTTCTTCCATTTGCGCAACATCTCTAAAATTAGAAATATCCTGTCTCAGAGTGACGCTGAAAAACTAGTTCATGCATTTATTACTTCCAGGCTGGACTACTGTAATTCATTATTATCAGGATGTCCAAAAAACTCACTGAAAAGCCTTCAGCTAATCCAAAATGCTGCAGCAAGAGTCCTGACAGGGACTAGAAAGAGAGAGCAGATTTCTCCTGTTTTGGCTTCCCTTCATTGGCTTCCTGTTAAATCCAGAATTGAATTCAAAATCCTGCTCCTCACATACAAGGTCTTAAATAATCAGGCCCCATCTTATCTTAATGACCTTGTAGTACCATATCACCCTATTAGAGCACTTCGCTCTCGCTCTGCAGGCCTACTTGTTGTTCCTAGAGTATTTAAAAGTAGAATGGGAGGGAGAGCCTTCAGTTTTCAGGCCCCTCTTCTGTGGAACCAGCTTCCAGTTTGGATTCAGGAGACAGACACTATCTCTACTTTAAGATTAGGCTTAAAACTTTCCTTTTTGCTAAAGCATATAGTTAGGGCTGGACCAGGTGACCCTGAATCCTCCCTTAGTTATGCTGCAATAGACATAGGCTGCCGGGGGATTCCCATGATGCATTGAGTTTTTCCTTTCCAGTCACCTTTCTCACTCACTATGTATTAATAGACCTCTCTGCATTGAATCATATCTGTTATTAACCTCTGTCTCTCTTCCACAGCATGTCTTTATCCTGTTTCCTTCTCTCACCCCAACCGGTCGCAGCAGATGGCCCGCCCCTCCCTGAGCCTGGTTCTGCTGGAGGTTTCTTCCTGTTAAAAGGGAGTTTTTCCTTCCCACTGTCGCCAAAGTGCTTGCTCATAGGGGGTCATATGATTGTTGGGTTTTTCTCTGTATCTATGAATATAAAGCGCCTTGAGGCGACTTTTGTTGTGATTTGGCGCTATATAAATAAAATTGAATTGAATTGAATTGAATTGAAAAAGCATAATCCAAAAATACAAACAAAATATCGACAAACAGAACATAATTTGGCTTCTGTGAACAATGCCAATAGACTGAGACAGTTAAGCACGTTCTTCTGTGATGTAGGAAATTCATTAGGGAAAGAAATGTTACAAAATTATGTAGACTGAATCAAGGGAAGCACTACAGAGTTATCTTTAAGTGACCGGACTAAATAAGGGCATCTAGAAGCAGAATGGTTAGTGATGTTAAATGACTGGAGAATCCTACAGGAGGCAGTACTGCATTGTCCTGGATGCCAGCTGTAATAAAGGCAATCTCTCGGTGGTAAAAATGCCAAAGATAACAGAGTTTGACAGCTAAAAATTTTACTTTTTACCAAAAAGGTGATTCTCAAATAGCTTCTAGCCAAGAACGTATCTTAGTCATATCTTAGTAAGTGTCCTTAAAAATGAGGGAAACTGGAAAAGTGGAGAACAAAGGAAGAAGTGGAGGAAGTAGTGAAAAGCAGATGGAAAGTATCTGAAATCCCTAAGAAATAGGGGGAAAAGCAAAGACCTGATACAGAACCTGAGAGATGCATCAGGCCCTTTAGCTGAACCATCTACTGTTCACTGAAGGCTCATCAGAAATGTTCTCAGTGGATGGTTGGCTGTCAAGAAGCCATTCTTACAGAAGGGAAATGGGGAGAAAAGGCTGAGGTATGCCAAATTACACAGAAACTGAAGTGAAACATCAGTGGTATTGGGTCTCATGGAGTGATGAATCCAAATGTGAACATTTTATTCACGTTATTGTCAATATAAGTTCAGGAGAATCATGAACAGTGAGTATCCATGGCCACCTGTAAAACGTGGTGGATGCCACATCAGCGTCATGGTCTGGGGCTGCTTTTCTGACAGTGATGTTTGATCCACAATGATATAACATCTGGAAACTTCAGACTGGCAACATTTTTCACCATAACAATGATGCCAAACACATAGCCAATGAAGCAACGCAGACCTGGATAGAAAAACACACACTGGGACACTATCAGTCACTGATTGGCATCCCCAGAGCCCAAAACTCAATATTACTGAAGCAGTGTGGGATCATCATCAAAGAGAAAAGAAAAAAAGGCAGAAAACATGAAAAGAAAAGCTTTGGTGTGACCTCCAAGAGACCTGGAGAATTATTCCCAAAACTATTATGGAAATCACAAGAAAGCTTTCCAAAGAGAGTTCAGAATAAAGGTGTCATACAAATATTGCCAAGTTTGTTAAAATTGTACATGTACTGTATTTCCATGTAAGTTTGCACACATTTCAGTAAGTAGCTCCACCGATTTCCTATTTTCCTAACCACCCCTTATATAAATAAAAAAGGGTTGTTCAATATGTTCCAAACTCTTTCAAATATCTGCTTTAGCTACCATAAATAAAGCCATTTACAAAAGTATTCCTGCATAAAATTGCACACTTTGAATGTTATCAGCCCCAACCACCACTCTGTTGTTTTAGTCACTAAATTAGGTTGAGAGTCAGTGGAGTCAATGCTCTGAAGGGAAAAAAAAAAAAAAAAAAACCACTTTGGAGGATTATGTATAAGATATAAGAGAAAATATACTGTATGCCAATGTTTAAGGTCTGGTTTGCTAGACACATGTAATTAAAACTTTACTGTTGATGCTGGGAGTGACTCAGCTAGGGAGAATATTAGCATGGCCATGTTAGCTGCTAGCAGTGACAGAGCTAGAAATATGTCAACGTTGGTTTTTTTAGTTGAAAAAAAAAAAAGTCACGTGCTTAATTACTGGCACAGGTGGCAGGACTTATGAGTCCTGTGAGGCCACTGGCAGCTCTCATTTGACCTCAGCATGGTCATTAGCTCGCCAACTATAACCCGGTATTCAGATTGTGCTGCAAATAGCATATTGTAGAAAATTAATGAAGTCAGTTTGACAAAGCCAGAAAAAGTCACTTGACTGCACTTTTAAACACTTGGGTGGCTGCACTGTACAATTGCACCAACCTGCTCAGTCGCGTAGATTGGTCAGCACAATTACACGCGTTTGGTGGCAACTTGTGTCAAGTGATTACTATAAATCAATGACTCATCACACTAATCAGGCCAGCCCGAATAAGAACAGGCATCTCCATATAGAAGTAGTCGCTATACAAACTTGCTATGCAGGGTTGTCAGTGAGTACTTGTAGGTGGCAAGTTTCTTTAAGTCATTGTGCAGTAGTAGTGTCCAAATTACTGAACTCACAACCACTTTACACACATTATCCAGTTACAACTTGAGCTTTGATTCATTAATAGACTCGATGCTCAAAAATCAGAATAAAGCAGCCTTTTTATTGCAGCACATATTTTAAGACATTACATGGACCCACTCCATTGTCAGACCGCGGCCTTGGTCTGGCTGTTGGCTGGCAGTGGCTTGCCCATGTGGATCCCCACTGTGAGGCCAGACTCTTTGCTGGCATATTTCTCTTTGACCTCAGGCTTCAGCAGGAAACCCGTCTCCTTGTCAAAGTAGTCCAAGGGAGCAAAGTACACACTGGCTTCCCCACAGAGGTTTTGCAGCCGTGTGCGCCAGCCCTCCAGCACGGAGCTGCGAGATTCAGGAGAACCAGTAGCAGGATCCCAGAAGATCTGAGGGGCAAAAACCTGGAAGCCACAGTAGTTCAGGATCCCGTTCTGCACACAGGGAGGAGCAGCTGTTACCACATGACAGATCATTTCATGCTTGGCTCCGTTTATAGTGAGACCTCACCTGCAGTGGCCACAGTGTGACATTGATGTCACCATTGATGCCAGTGTCACTGTACACAGATTCAGGACAGTCAGTGGTGAAGGACAGCATGGCTTTCTTGTCCTGTACAGAGAGCAAGGAGTGAGCAAAGAGGGAGTGGACACAGCCTGAACACAGACATGTTGGTGGAGCTCTCACCTTGAAGATGCCCTCACTGTACCGCTTCTCCTGTGCGTAGGCAAAGCCCAACACACGATCCATCCACCCCTTCATGATTGCAGGAACAGATGACCAGTACATGGGGAACTGGGAACACAGGTTTAATGGTCATTTTGATGAGGACACCTGATCACAAAGACATTCCCAGTCAAACACTACCTGAAAGATGACAAGGTCTGCCTCCTTGAGCTTCTCCTGCTCTTTTTTGATGTCTTCTGCAAGTCTGCCCTCCTCTGATGCCAATTTGATCTCCTTTGCGTAGCAGAAGTTCTCAGCATCCTTCACTCCACCTGCAACAAAAATCTAGTGTTTGTATTTGATGAACAGAGCAAAGATGTTTTAATACCTGTAGGATACTGGTATACCAGTGATGTCCTCAGTTGTAGCAGCAGCTTTGAACTTCATGGCGTACAGGTCAGACACCTCTACAGTGCAGCCTTGAGCAGTCAAAGCTGCCACAGCAGCATCTTTGGCAGCAGCATTGAAAGAGGCAGGGCTCTCATGGGCATACACAATCAACACTTTCTTGGCTGCAAAGTCAAAGAGAATAGATAACACAAAGTGCCCATTAGAGCAGAACCAGTTCATTAAAGCAATGAAAATAAAAACAACCATCAAAAATACTTACACATTCTGATACAAGTGCTCCGCGGTGACTGCTGATGCTCACAAGTCACTAGTACTCCAATGGGGGGAGGAAAACTGCTACTGGTGTAAAGCTCAGTATCCAGGATTTATACACCCAATGGGCTCTGCTTCAACCAGGTGCAGTCAATCAGCAATCAGAGTCATCACTCTGCCAGCTGGAAGTGGGGGATTTTCTCTAAGGCCTCTCATCTTCAGATCTTTTTGTCTTTTAACTGCATGGACACCAAGCATGCGTCACTCCTACAAGATGATTAAAATCAGTTTTTCAATGTCTGTCATTTAAAAGACATGAAAATGAATCATCTTTCAGAGAAACTGATGTCGTCACCATGACATGAATGTTATCTAAGGGTTAATTAATTCTATTAGATATTGAAACGAGGAGCTAAGCAATTAAACAGGGGAATGATCTTCATTAATCTATATACTTATGCAAAATTAGCGCCAAGATAAAAGTTTGTAGCTATTACAGATATTATGAAAGCAGCCGTGAAATATTATTACTAAATCCTTCATGCCTGTAGCTGGAAAAGCAAATTATAACATGTCAAGTTCAATCTGCTACAGATCGCATAGAAAACATCGGTTGAGAAAGCATCAAAACAATCGCAACAGTTAACTGTGGTCATTCTTCTCTAGCTGCAGGCTGTGGGGGGAGCATAAGCTGCAGGTTAAAAACCTTTTTAAACAGAACAACGGGGGTGCAACAAAGCGTGCACATGTACACACAGTGAAGTCACTCAAAGAAAGCTGCGTGCTCCCACTAACATGATTTATATTCTGAAAACACTCCTCATTCTTCACCTCTGTGTCAAATTGCCATATTTTGTGGGGGTATATTATGGCAACCTCACGCAGGCCACAGTGCGTATCAGGCCCCATCTATCATATACAACCCACCCTCTCGAGAACAACACAAACAGACACACAGAGGCAGAGAGATGGAGTAGGCGGCTGGTAGACAAGGCAGAATGTGAGTGTATAACACCACCAAATGACTCTCTCTGACAATGGACACCATTATCTAGCACTGCGTTGTTTTTCTCTTTTATTGGTCTCAGCATATTCATAATTCAACACATGACATACAGGAAACACTAACATAAACATTCTGACTGAAAGAAGAAATCAAGTGACCCATCGGTCAGCTGAGGCTCTCACCTCAAAGACATGCGGCGGCAATGCCAGTTCTAAAACTCAGAATAAACACACCCGGATGCGCTGGCAGGCAGCTTTTTGAGGCAATTTGGCGGTACAGAAGGGGGAGAGAGGTTTGAAATCAGTAAAAATGCAAGCGTCAGCTTTAAAGAACAAAAAGCAGAGGATGTTAGCTCATAGCAAACAGCTGCTGGCAAAGCCGCATGTATTTTTATGCCTCAAAAAGTTGCCAGGACATCACAGCCTTGAGGGAAATGTGACGGATCCATGCCCTTTTCTGCTGCAAAGGAAGTGCTTTAGTACCCATGTTTGGGATAGGTAGGTAGAACTGGCCATAGAAAGAAGATGAGTTCAATTTACAGTGATGTAATGACATATACAATATATTATACAGCGGTTTATGTGGGAGGTTTATGTTGTTTGATGTAAGCTGGCCCTTAATTTCTCTGCCTCATTATACTTCAAGCAGATTCATCATGAGTAACATAGTTTCTTAGGTAGAATTATACACGTTTTGTTGTTTTTATTGTTGTTTTTAAGAGGGCCTGTTATGCATTTTCTTATGTTATGACATATATATATATAGAGAGAGAGAGAAATGACAAGTTTCATGATCATATTAAAGAGGATCTGTTCCATTCATTTATAATCCGTATTTCTATTCCTGGGTACTACTAAAGTACCTTTTAATAAAAGCAGCTCAAAATAATCCTTATTTATATTTATTTGATCCTTTTTGCAGCCCTTGCTCCGTCCTCTGAGTGAAACAAGTTGTTCAACTGTGTCGCCGCTCCATGTAAGCGATCTTATTCTAATTGGATATCCCTCGTAAACAAAAGGTTTGAACAACAGGTGGGCGGGACTTCTGTTGTCACAGTAAGAGAAGGAAAAACTGTGTGAAACTGAGCATTTGGCTCACAGGCGTTACTTATTAAACTTTTAATATCAGCAACACTGATAATACAACCCCTTTAAACATGCCAAAAGTGTGTGTGTATGAAACAAAAGCTTTTGCTTGAGACAGTTTTTTCCATTCTTAACTCTGAATTCCTTTTAGGATGTTCTGTTTGCAAGAAGCTGCCAATCAGTTAAAAGTTGGCTTGAACAGGAGAGGAGATAAAAATGCTTTACTTTGCTTGAGAGAATATGCACCAAAGCCCAGCATAAGATATACAAGGCTCATTTTGAGCCTGAGTGAATGATGCAAAACCACTTCAGTATAGTCCAAGAATAGAAATATGGAGCCAGAAACAGACCCCACTTAAATATCTCATCTCTCTTCAACACTGATTCCAGCTCATTTATTTAGATTTCAAGAGGTGTGTGAATGACTGAAACTAAAACACAGTTTATAGCATTCGTGTCTTAAATGGCCAATCTCAGTATAGTGCATTTTCTTTTTTAATGTTAGCAGTGGACTCGTGTCTTGATACCCATATTAAAAGAACCCCATTCCCCCTTAAATGCAGCGCTACCCCTTCCCCACACTAATTCAAGCCCCCATGCCCCCACCCAAAATAACTTTATACAAACTGATAAAACTTCACGAAAATTCACCATCAACACAAAGGTCACACAAAGTCCTGTGGTTACGTCCATCCTGTAAAAACTAAAAACAGCGGACATCAACATCCGCTCGGACCGCTCCCTCATGTGTTGGTTGATAGGGTCACATATATATAAGCACGCTCTCTACGTGCACCCAGATACAGTATATACATATACAAATGTAATCCCCAGGGGAATAAAGACAGGCAGCACTTGCAGTCAGGTCAGGCTTATGTTTCTATTGCATTGCAGCTCATTGCATCCTTCTGTTGCCAAACAGTTAGACAGGTTGTTTAAGTGTTGTCAGGGGATACAATGGTATTTTTAGGACTAAAAGTAAAGGGGGAATTTGAGGATTTAATGGCAGAACAGGTGGTGAGAATTCATTAGTGTGTACGCAGAAGTGCAGGTGGAGTGGAGGTCGGAGAGTCCATATCCGATCAATCGTGGATAACAATGGGGCCTCGCATTCTCAGGCTGGGGTGAGGGTGTGGAGGGGCGAGGACAAGCCCCTGCGGTGGACCCTGGGAGACCCTGCGCAGGGTGATTTGCTCACAAGGTTGCCGGCAAGCGTGCCTCAGCTGGGAGCGAGACAACATCCGTCGAGCCCGCCTAGATGGATGGAGACAACATGGGACAAGATGAGTGAAGGAAAAAAAACAGGGATGCAGAGATAAATAGCATTAATAAAACTAAAAGGATGTTCCTGATCTTAGGCGTTTGGTACTTGTTTTATGCTTCCTCTCTGCCATATTTCAGGGGCTTATATTATGTTTTTCATTCAACTCCAGGTCTGAAGCAAACTTCTAAGTGCCTCAGTCCTACAAAAGACTACCAGAGACTGGCTTCATAGTCTGTTAGTCTGGTTGCCATAAACTCATGTGTTAAAATGCACAACTTTGCAGCTGAAATTAACATGTTTACACCTGGGCAGTAGTTCAACTATGCTTATAGGATTTTGAAATTTTTTTAATGCAGTAATCTGAAAAAATGGCATACTGTGTGGTGCAGTTTGTGCTCAACATCAGACTGGCTATGTCCATACTATATATTCATCTTTTATTTTTACAACCTTTTCTAACAATCGACACTACTGACTTTGCAAATTCAGATTAATAATACAAAGATTTGGTAAATTTTATAGGTAAGACTTTATCGATCCCCTAGGAAATTCCCTAGCAAGCCAAGCTGCAATGTCAGCAGTTATAACCCATTAGACTACATTTTACAGAAATGGTATTATAAGTAAATTTACCTTTGGTACTTTAACTGTATTTCACTGCTTAAAAATGCAAATATCAGCAGCTAATCCAACTATTGCCTCGAGGGTCAGGGAAACGATAATCACTCAACTCAACATGAGTCAAAAATCCTTAAATAAATAAAACAACAACAACAACAACAACAACAACAACAAAAAATGTTTTTACTAATACTTTAGCACTGAATTGCTGTCATGTGACTGACTGATTGTACAGTAACAAGCAGATGAGTAGGTGTACTTAATAAAGTGGCTTCTGAATGTATTTCTTAGCCTGCAAATAATGCTTGTCTGAGACGATTACTCATGTTGACTGCATCAACACATAGAGCCCAAATATACAAATTATGAAACTGACTTCATGAGACAGCTGATTTATCACCGTGGGCTTGCCATACTGCGCTACTGGTTGTTAATCATCTGGTTGTTTGGTTGGAAAAAATGTAATCATCATTCAACATCTGATTCTGGTTTTAGAATCAGTGTCTCTTAAATATGAGCAAGAAAATGGCTTCTGATTTCTCTGATCAGCACAACTTAAGCAGAAAAGTGCAAACAGCCAGAGAACGGCGAGTTCAAGACACGAAGATGAAAAATCTCATAAAGAGAGAAAGCTGTGAAGTTTAGGGTAGTTTGAATGATTTAATATGAGCACAGTTCAGCTGGAGGGCAATACATTGCGGATCCAGGCTGTTGAGAAGGTAATTAGATACAACTAGATTCTTCTCATCTCGAGAGATTTACTATAGGAGAGTGCAGCGCGTTCCGAGCACCAGAACAAATACACGTGTCTGTTATGAAGTAATAGAGGAGAACATTTTTGCAGGATTTTCTGGCTCGTTGAGGGTTTTGTAGGTAATTTCCAGACTGCAGTGGGCTTTGCGGCGTGACAGGAAAGCACTTTTTACAACCCACAGGCACTAAAGAATCCCAGATTCTTGGGACACACTCACAAGTCTTGGACAGAGCGCTAATTGAATCCAAATGGAGACAAATGCAAGGTGCATAACCACAATGTATAGGTGATTATTCATGGTTCCCTTAGAGCAGTCTGAGACTTAATGCACAGCAAAGCTCTTTGTGCAATCTCATTTTCTTCCCCTTTCCTATTGTTGTAAATGTTGTCTCGTATTGTGAATGCAAAACACACCG